TGTATTTGTTTCAGCAGTATTACAGCTGTACGACGTTGTTTGTAAACAGATCGGGTCTGGACCAGACAATTCAGTGATTGTCACAATGCGATACGATGACAGAGCATGTGTTTATGAATCACAGTACTAGAATCTGTACTTTTCTAAGAAAGTGTTATTCCAAATATAACATATGTTACATTTGACCACTTTCTAAATGGCATGGTGTATTCACCAGAGCTACAGATAACTTTTTGGGTCATTGAGTTATGTACCCGCTTGTCTTCATCTCAATTGGGTATCCTAATTTTCCTTTGAGTAACCAAACAAATTGTACTCACCTCACTCAAAATCAATTGGGCATTTTGCCATTTTCCATTAATGGTAAAAATATAATAAAGTTTAAATGTTAGTGTTTGTTATTTATATTTGATCTGTAATATGAGAAACGATATGAAAGACTGCTAGTTGAGTGTTCATGTGCCGAAACAGAACATCTAAATATACCTCAGTTGCTTTATCTATTCACTGGTACGCAAGCTAAGATTTGACAGTTTTCTGTGTACGCATGTACGATCAAATTTATTGAGTATTTGCAAAAATACAAGCGTACTTGTACGCAACAGACGTAATAGGAATTGAGTTTTCACATAAATATTTGCGTAATTTACGCAGATACGCAGCTTATCTGTACCTCTGATTCACTATGAAATAGTGATGATATCTGGTGTTCGGGAAAAGGTGAGCGTATCCGTCCCTACCAGTGGCACCCGTCATAAACATGTGCAAAGTCTAGTGAATTGTTCACCTGAAATAAGGAAAATCTCAAAATCAATTTCACCAATGACCACATCTGAGTTAAGTAATGAGAATGACAATATTGGATTTGACACACTGGGATTGAAGATGCTCCAGATAGCCCAGACTGAGATAACAAGATGTTGCCCTATCAGACCACAATAGCAACAGCAGCAGCAGCAGTAACACCAGCAGCAGCATCTGCCATAAGCCTGCATCCCACTCTCCTTGACTAGCCATGGTAGGACCACTCTCTGCAGGCAGGTAAGACTTCAAAGAACATTACTAACAAACTTTCAGTAACTATGGTAACAGGTTGTATAGAGCAAATCTTTTAGGTAATATTACTGGTAAAATATTTGTGCAAAAACGTTAAGTTTTGAATCATTTGGGTTGGTCAAATTGATTATATTTTCCATTAAATTAATCATGGTGAGTATTATTTGTATAATTTTAGTCGAGCCACCAGGGCACATTGAAAATATTTCATTTGTGCAATTTAACCTTTTATTCAAATTAAGCACTATTTGATCCCTGTCTATCCCTTGTATATCAGCAACATGGGTCTTTGTCCATAGCACAATCTCAGCACAGCAACTGTCATCAGCCTATGTTAAAGTATGGGAGTAACTATTATATTAGTGCTAAGATTGTTTCGCAGAAGAGTAAGTGTTAGCAGTGAGAGTAAGTTTGGAGAGCATAAAGGACTAATATTTTAGAAAACATGAACTGTGATAACAAGAATATTTAGGCAAACATTAATTAATATTTTAACCTCAGAATATAGACAATTATCAGCAAAAGAAACTAGAACCAGGCAAACAAACATACATCTGACGAGATTCAGACTTCTCTGTCCTGAACTGCTTGAGAGGCAATCCAGAAGTTGTGAGCAATAGGAATGACGAGTCTTAATGGATGATCAACTTCTTTATTGTACAATAGCGACGTTTCGGTATAGATACCTATACCGTTTTCAAGCAATGTTGGAGTTGCCCATGTCATTGTATTTATGATTGTCTGATCACCATCCTTTATTCAAAGCGGGGTAATCGTTTTGGGGGTTGAGGCAACATGAAGGCAACTTTCGTTTCATCGTTGCATGCCTGCTTATTGTGAGAAGAAAGTCATGAACTGGTACACAAATAAATAGGTGATGAAGTGGGATTAAATGTCCAGATTGTAACCTTTACATTGAGCATGCACACATATATTGGTCTGTACCTGCTTGTAGTATTCTGGACTAATTCTGTTATATAGTGAAGAACCACAAAGACACCCTGTCAAAGTTTTTAAATGCCCATTATATCCCATTACTGCACAGTAACAAGTACCGTCATTTAACATCTTCAGTATGATACAGACAGAAGACATAAAGGCTTTTGAAATGAATTACATCAGTAGTTTGAGGTTTTGTTTTGAATCAGCTTATTTTGAACTGTACCATTTCCACCATCAGTGTCTGATTTAATGTCTGTAACGAAAAAGATTGCTACTTGAAAACAAATGATGAGAACACATGATTAAATTTCAGATTGAGGAAGAACCGTTGTCAGACAGTCCTGGCAGGAGTGTTCTTCCTGTTGGTCCTGTACTTGGCACTGCCTGTATTCAGACACAGCATGGGGACACGGAAAACAGCTGACTTGAAGCATATCCTCAATACCAGATTACAGTCTGCAGTCTCTGCATTTACAAACATCACAGCCACATCATCAGAGATGATAGAAGAAAGTCTTGAAACAACAGTAAGACAATCACAGACAGTGGAAGAAAGACTTGAAACAACAGGAACACAATCACTGACAATGGAAGACAGTCTTGAAACAACAGGAACACAATCACAGACAGTGGAAGAGAGTCTTGAAAAAACAGGAACACAATCACAGACAGTGGAAGAGAGTCTTGAAACAACAGGAACACAATCACAGACAGAGGAAGAAAGTCTTGAAACAACAGGAACACAATCACAGACAGTGGAAGAGAGTCTTGAAACAACAGGAACACAATCACAGACAGAAGAAGAAAGTCTTGAAACTACAGGAACACAATCACTGACAATGGAAGAGAGTCTTGAAACAACAGGAACACAATCACATTCAATGGAAGAAAGTCTTCAAACAACAAGAACACAATCACAGACAGAGGAAGAGAGTCTAGACACAACAGGAACACAATCACAGACAGAGGAAGAGAGTCTAGACACAACAGGAACACAATCACAGACAGTGGAAGAGAGTCTTGAAACAACAGGAACACAATCACAGACAATAGAAGAAAGTCTTGAAACAACAGCAAGACAATCTCAGACAGTGGAAGAGAGTCTTGAAACAACAGGAGCACAATCACATTCAATGGAAGGGCGTCTAGACACAACAGGAACACTATCACAGACAGTGGAAGACAGTCTTGAAGCAACAGTAGGACAATCACAGACAGTGGAAGAGAGTCTTGAAACTACAGGAACACAATCACAGACAATGGAAGAGAGTCTCGACACAACAGGAACACAATCACAGATAATGGAAGAAAGTCTTGAAATAACAGGAACACAATCACAGACAGTGGAAGAGAGCATTCAAACACATGTTGAACACGTTCAGGCCAACAATGAACCTTCTTCCAGTTCATGTTCACCCTCAAACACGAAGCGGATTGCCTGGTTCAATAGGCCAAAGTGGCTCTCAGACTACCCAGGAGAGGAAATGTTTGAAGGGTGCGAATACAGCTGCTGTACGTTAAAACAAACCTCTGGACACAACAATATCAATGACCTTGACCTTGTGCTATTCTCTTCTGACCACATGACCCAAGATACACCTTCAAGACCCTCGCCCAATCAGATCTGGGCTTTCTTTTCCATTCAACCGTCATCATACATTCCGCAATCTTTTTGGGGAAAAAACTCATGGAGGAGCACTTTCAACTGGACAATGACATATCGCAGAGATTCTGATCTCATTGTGCCCTCAATGAGTGCTGAAGAAACGGATGTCGGTGATGAAAAAGACTACAGAAAAATAATGGCCTTGAAGGACAAGAAGGTAGTCTCTGTCCACGTCCTGTGTGGAGGGTCTTCCAAACGTGTCGAGTATGAGACGAGTCTCAAAACATATATTGATCTTGACGTACTGGGACAGTGTCAAAGTGAAGTCGACCTTGGATGCTACAATTACTGTGATGTATTATTTGAGAGGTATAAATTTGGTCTTGCCCATGAAAGGGTATTCTGCAAGGATTTCATGTCGACCCAGTTTTGTTACTTACTGCAACATGACATTGTGCCAGTAGTTCGAGGTTTGGGAAATTATGAAGATTTTGCACCAAGACATTCCTTCATCAATGCCAATGATTTTTCTTCAGTTGAGGAGTTAGGGAATTATCTACAGTATCTTGACAAAAATAACACTGCTTATGTTGAATATCTCAAGAACAAAGAGGGGTACAAATTCAATCTGTTTTCGATGAAAACAAGAAAACCGCTTTATTGTGAAATGTGCAAAAAGCTCCATAATTTGGACACAAATAGCAGGACGTATCCTGATCTGTTTTCCTGGTTGATGGATGATAAGTGTTTTGATACTATGGAATTTCAATGATTGTGAGTGACTGCATTGTTACAGCACATTCGACAATAAACCAGTGGTTGATAGTGTGAGCATAAGGCCATTGAGGAACAGCCTGGCCAACTTAGATCATATAGATGGCACTTGCAAGTTTTTGGCAATAGGTCTCTCTACAGCTCCTGAACCAGCACTATTCTAAATGACTGAGTTAAATGCCTCACCAACTTGGGTATCTCATGGAAAAGATTCCAACGAGCAAGCATCACACTGAAGACCCATGTTCTATTCCCTACATGGGTACAATGTGTGAAACCCATTTCTGGTGTCCCCCGCCATGATATTGCTGGAATATTGCTAAAAGCGGAGTAAAACTAAACTCACTCACTCATTCCAACCAGCAAGTTTGGTGACAGAGGTATATGCAGATAGATCCCACTTCAAATCACATTAACAATAACAATAACAATTAACAATTACAAACACTTTCCACGGTTGAGTTCATTTTAAGCCAAGTTCAAAACCCATACACTTCAATGGGACAAATAACTCAGGTTGAGTCAATTGTGAACAAAGTTGACTTTAACCCTGTAGGTTGATTCCAATACAGATCAGAAAATGACTCAGGTTGAGCCCACTGTGAACAAAGGTAACACTCACCCTGTAGGTGGATTCCACTTCAAACGGGTAAATGACTTTGGGGTTATTGCACACCTCACAGATGAATCCTTTCTGGGAGCACAGGGAACAGTCGTACACATGCTTACTGGCAAACTTGACAACCTCCTTCAGGAACCTTGCCAACTGGCCGGAGGGGATCTGGAGCAGGTCCTGGTGAGAGACAGCCACGATATGTTAAAATGTCTACAACACTGCTTGGTTTAAAGTTTTCGTAACTAAACACCAAATGAATAAAGCAGTCCCATCATTAGATTATACTGAATCTTTTAAACTAACAAGTGACTGAGTGAGTTTAGTTTCACACAACTTTTAGCAATATTCCAGCAATATCACCGCTGGGGACACAAGAAATGGGTAAAACTACCAAGGGGCAGAGGGATAGCCTTGTGGTTAAAATGTTCGCTCGTCGTGCCGAAGACCATGGTTTGTTTCCCCAAATGGGTACAATGTGTGAAGCCCATTGCTGGTGTCCCCGATCGTGATATTGCTGGAATATTGCTAAAAGCGGCATAAAACTATACTCACTCACTCACATTTGTTGACATGGTCAAACCTGCCTTTCAAAGAAAGGAGCCCTGAAACTATTATCATTGTCAGTCTAGTGAAGCTATTACACCTGTGAACGAGTTGGTTATCTTTTCTGTTTTTTCAAAACCTGACCATAATTTTGTTTGTTTGGTTAACGCTGCACTCAGCAATATTCAAGCTATATGGTGGAGGTCTGTAAATAATACAGTCTGGACCAGACAATCAAGTGATCAACATCATGATCATGGATCTACACAATTGGGATACGATGACATGCGTCAACCAAGTCAGTTAGTCACCTTTTGCGACAAGCATGGGTTCCTGAAGACCAACTGTAACTTGTATCTTCACGGGTCCCTGACTAATCTAATTTGAGCCGCAAATACTAAATACAATAATTGTATGTTATTAGAAAGATTAGTCAGTACATACTACTACTGCTACTGCAACTGCTACTGCTACTTCTACCACCTCCACCACTACTATTACCACTTCTACTACCACTACCACCACCACCGCCACCACCACCACTACTACTAAATCAATTACTACTGCTGCTGCTACTACTACTACTTGAAAACATTCAGACCAGAGAGAAGTATCTTATCAAGAAACTGCAGACTTGCGAACAAGACAAACACATGACCACCTAAGAACTGCTCGTCAGAAGTACTTACCGATAGAGAACAGAGGTGTCTGCTGTCATACAGGTGTTCTCGAGGCCACACCTTCTTCCTCAGGTCGACAGCCACTGACTGATGACAGGTGAACAGATACGTCTTCAGAGAACACAGCTGCTGACGCAGGAGCTAAATCAGAAAGAAATGGTGGATGTATGGGATTATTGGTCCCTTGGTATCATTACAAATTCCTTCGAACTATCTCTGGCAACTACCAATATGTCATGCATTTTTATTCGTCAAACAAAGGACAGATGAATGCTGAACAGTCTGAGAAATGTCATCTTACTTAAATAATTGATATAAGTATTCTGGAACTTTTCAATTATATACAAAACTCCAGATGATAACAAGTGTTGATTTTCCTAAAAATATATTTGGGCATTAAAGGATGAATAGCTATGAACAGTATATGAATGAATCACTGACAATCAGGTAATGGCACCAGGTGTCCTGCCCAACCAGAAGCAGCTGCCAATCACAAAATTTCTGAATGAAATTTTACATAATGAGAGGAAATATCTTTGTATCTTTACATTCTTAGTTAACATTTCCAGCTGAAAGAGATCCAATTCAGAACAAATATTTTCATCCAAAAATCCATACTCACTGTCATTTAGCATGTTTAAATCAATTAACATTTTCAGTAAAAAGTTATTAAAAGTGTTTCCGATTTGGGGCAGAGATTACATTTGATGGTGCAACAGCCTTGTCTCCTTACTCTGACATCTTCCATCTCCTGGATGTGATCATAGATCTTAGGGTTGAGCTCCTCCAGGTCCAACACAGGCTGGTCCTCCATCTGTTGGATGTACTCACAGCTCAACTTGGACACTGAAACAGTGAGTCAGATGTTATCTATCCTGGCTCAGGTAATACACTGAAACAGAGAGAGAGTCAGACATCATCTATCCTCCATTTGTTGGATGTACCCATGGCTCATCTGGAGCTCTCAAACAGAGACTCAGATGTCATCTATCCTCCATTTGTTGGATGTACCCATGGCTCATCTAGACGCCATCTATCCTCCATCTGTTAGATGTACCCATGGCTCATCTTGAGCTCTCAAACAGAGAGTCAGATGTCATCTATCCTCCATTTGTTGGATGTACCCATGGCTCATCTTGAGCTCTCAAACAGAGAGTCAGATGTCATCTATCCTCCATTTGTTGGATGTACCCATGGCTCATCTTGAGCTCTCAAACAGAGAGTCAGATGTCATCTATCCTCCATTTGGTGGATGTACCCATGGCTCATCTAGATGCCATCTATCCTCCATCTGTTGGATGTACCCATGGCTCATCTTGAGCACTCAAACAGAGAGTCAGATGTCATCTATCCTCCATTTGTTGGATGTACCCATGGCTCATCTTGAGCTCTCAAACAGACAGTCAGACGTCATCTATCCTCCATTTGTTGGATGTATCCATGGCTCATCTTGAGCTCTCAAACAGACAGTCAGACGTCATCTATCCTCCAACTGTTAGATGTACCCATGGCTCATATTGGAGATTGAAACAGAGAGTCAGATGTCATCTGTCCTGAGTTAACATGGAACTATCAAAGAGAGAGAGAGATCATCTGTGGTTCAGCCTGGACACTGCAGCAAAGGCACAGTCGGGGGCTATCTACTGCAGCATTGTGGATGTACTCCTAGCAAAAGTTAAGACACTAAAGCATTATTTAAATCAATGAGACAATGAATCATGGATTTCTTTTACCTTTTTGTTTGCGGAAGTCCCAGTTGAAGACAATGTGTGATGGGATGTAGTACTCATCATTCTCATGGCACTCAAAACAATAGTAGCCTCCGTCAAAGGAACATACCCGGGGGTTTCCGTAAACTGAAATACAAACCAGCATCAGTGGTCAGTAAAGTACATGAGGAACTTCAGCACAATGTCACTCCAACCATGACCACATACAGTCAAGCCGCGTTAATCAGAACACTTCCGTTTTTCATCAAAAAAGTTCGGATAGTGAAACGTACGGACTACTGAAACGAACAAACATGTACACCACTACAGTAGAGTTACTTCCCTTTGGCATACCGAGACAAGAACATAAGAACGTATGTACATGTTTTGATGGTGCCAGTTGCGTTTGCACAAGTGAGACCTATTAATTGATTGAAATCACAAACTAATGACATGTTCAACTCAGAAGTGTCACCTCACTAATCAATTACCATTGAAGTTTACCGATGAAGATCAGCGCTAATCAATGGTGCTCACAAGGTAAGGGGATCATCCGAACATTTTTAATGTACCGTCGGATTAATGAAGAAAACCAATTGTAAATAGCTAATCGATCATCGCTAATTAACATCCAGATCTGGAGAGTGAAGCACCGCATTAATGAATCAACAGTTAATGAGTTTACATACAAGATTTGTTACAGCAAGCTACCGTTCGGATATCGCGGGAATCGGATTATCGGGGTCCGGACTAACGCGGCCTGACTGTACACCGCATAAGGAACCAAGTTCCCATATAGGACCATACACATGACAAAACAACTCTGCATGACCAAGATGACTTGTTTCATCATGACAACACTATAATATAGGCAACACACAGAACCCAGTTGTGTCCACTGTTACAAGCATAAAGAACACAACTATTGGAGTCAGCTTTCACTAACATCAGAGGAGCATGTGCTTATTATCATGATCATGAGAGTTGGCCCAGCTGTGCAAGGTCCTGAATCAGACAGAAACCCATGATTTTGAGTTTGACTCCCAAATTCACCATGCTCATGTTTCAGTGATAATCAACACCATGCTCATGACACCTACATAATGACAAAACAAGCAAACAGGCTATAGTGTTTCCCATAGGCATTGTAGCAGGGTGCAGCCCATTGCCCTTTCTACTTGGTGCCCTGCATTTCTTTCAATTCAATAATTGACATCAACACTTGGTTGTTCTTATTTTCTATTTCATGTGAAATAACTCTGCTCTTTGAGCCTTTAAGAATCCTATGCATGAATAACTTAACGTCATTACATGCTCTTTTCAGAATAGACGTGCCCTTTTTGAAATTCTGTCGCCCAGCCCTTTTTGGATCCTGGGGGAAACACTAGGCTATGAGAACACAGAAATGCTGTTTAAAGCAACTATAGAAACCAAAATGTGACTGATCTGAAGACAAAAACTTACTGAGTCCAACAGGTCGTGAACATCCTTTACATTGATAGTTCTGGGAGTCCAGCCCCTTCTCCACTGCCATCTCCTTGAAATGGGTCAGACGGGAGTTGGGGTTCTGAATACAAACACAGACATTTTACTTTAGTCTCTTACATATATTTCAAATATCTAAAAATTATATTTCTTCCAAATGATACTAAGTGCTTCATATGGTTTGTGCAATATATTATTTTGTGTACTCATGTTTAACAAGTCATCGGCAAATGTTAATTGACAAATATATGACACATAGAAATCATCATGAATGAAAAGGAAGGCAAAATACCTGTCAAATGTTAAATTGATTAAACTGAATGAGAAATGGAACCTTCTTAGTGAAGTGAAGTTGACAACTGGATTCATTTATCAAGTAGTGTACAAAATGTTTGTCACCATAAGAAGTAAACCAGACACCAACATGACTAGATTAAAACTTAAATAATATAATTAAAACAAGGTAACATATCGGAACTATAACCTTTATAGGGTTAATTAAACAGTGCATGATATAAAATAACAATAAAAATAAGCATGAAAGTCCAAAAGCATAAGTCCATGCAAAGTGTTTGGACCAATCAGGCTAATATAAGCTCATACCATGTAGATATAGTGTTTTGCCAATAGATTAATTAGTCCTTGCATATTTTTCTCTCAAACCAGTAAACTTTATCTTGTTTAAGTTAATGAGTCAATAACAAAGATTCCAACTGTATCAATAAGAAAGATTACGACAGAATTACAGGAGAAAAAACAGTCTACAGGGATCTAAATGTTGCTTTATTATGTCTGGCAGCACAACTTAAATGACAAAAGTAATATTCAAAAATGAAGAAGTGGTAATAAATTCTACCAATTCAAATGATTGCCTACCATCAAACTGTTTATCAGTGGCACTCTCACTTTCACAGCTTAACATGAGTGAGGAGGCCATTTTGAATGACAGTGTGGATAACAGGAATTCTATTTTGAATAGTTTGTAGGTTAGTTTTGGTCCAGGACAAATGAAACTGAACTGTTCTTGCAGTCTTGATAGAATTTAGGAAATCCAGCTTGGAGGAAAGGTTACATGATGATTACCGATTTATTAAGCAATAAACTGAAGTGATATAACTGTTGTGATATTATAAGCTTAATTGGATCATCCAAAGGTATGGGCATGCTTATTTTCACAAAGGCACACCTAAATTATCTGCCTGGTGCCCAATGGCATGCTTAAAAAAACTGCATTTCTATCACTGCCCAAAGTGCTCTGTTTGCCCTGTGGTACGAAATCAAGAGTGAGCAGTCAAACAATATGAGTTACAACAAATATTTCATTAAAAAATTTAAAATATGAAAGGCAGGTTGAAACAGAAAGATACACGAATAAAGAGCAGAATATATGCAAAATGCATCCCACTGCACACAAGAAACTTCAGCTAATCTACTTGAACTATTAACATCCCATTCCATGCAAATGACACAATAATAAAGAAAACAAAACCTCTCGGTGCTGATAAATATAAAGCTTGATAAAAATAGAATTTGCCTTTCTTCTGATCCACCTGCCCCTAAAAGTGACTCCTTCACGGATGTTTCTTAAATTTTAAAACTATTAAGAAACATCTTTTTTTTCAAAACTCCTTTTTGGAGCAGAATCCATCTTTTTAAAACTTACTTTAAATTTAAACATAGATACATCGTAAAAAGCCTAGTAGTCTCCACTGATGCCATTGGAATATGCCATGAGTGAATGAATATGGTTTTACGCTGCTTTTAGCAACATTTCAGCAAATATCACGGCAGGGGACACCAGAATTGGGTTTCACACATTGTACCCATTTGGGAAATCGAATCCAGATTTTTGGCGTGACGAGCGAATTCTTTAACCACTAGACTACCCCACTACCCCCAATATGCCATGAAATAATCTTAACACACAGGTTGATACTGTATCAATAAACAAGCAGTGATGGTGAAGCTTATCAGTCTCATTGATATGCAAATGTATGCAATTAGGTTCAGATTTTCTCATTTAAATCAGATCTTTGCACCCAGTACCAGAGCACTGGGATCTGAGGAGATCATACTGCCAGTCTACAAAGTCGCTATCAAAACTCAGGCTGTAACAGTGAATGGCCAATTAGCATTACAAATTTTAACATAATATATAGATTTTTTCAGATATCATAAAGAATAAGGGTCTTCACTGCATGTCAAACAATTTATTCTATTTCATCGATCATTTCAAGGAAAGAAAGGCCTACATTGATCAACATGGCATCAGACCGAGATAGATATTACTGAGAATACCCCACATGCGATGAAGGACCATCAAGCGGGAACAAAACTGATATGTTAGTAAGAACTAAGCACACCAACACCACAATATCTACACTCACTGAAGTGGTGTCTAACACAGACACCTGCCCACATTCAACTATTTCAAAATCGTGATCTTCAGGATCTTCGCTGGACTGAAATTCAGAGTCATCAGATTGTTCTACAGTTCGTTGACAACACAATACATGAAGTTATAAACATTTCATCTGATGAAGAGGCAAGAAGTAGCCCTGCAACACTGACACAAACAATATACAATTTGATTTAATGCCAATACAATTTGAGTGAGTGAGTTTAGTTTTATACCATCTTAAGCAATATTCCAGCAATATCACAGCGGGGCACACTAGAAATAGGCTTCACACATTGTACCCATGTGGGGAATCGAACCCAGGTCTTCGGCGTGATGAGCGAATGCTTTAACCACTAAGCTACCCCACCGCCCATGTTAATATGATCTGTACTGGGACGCTATCTCACCTGTGTCTTCATGACCCTCCTAGGAGACTCCTCCCCATCCAGAGAGTCAAGCTGTGACACAGAGGAGTTGGGCAGGTTCTGTATCACCTGGTCCAGGGAGGCACCGGGCAGACCGTGAGCTTGATGGGGCATAGTTCTTCAACAAGGTTCGGAAACTCTCAGCTGCAAAACAATTAATTTTCAGAAAATCACAGCAAGTTTCATTTTCACGGCATGGCAAGGTGCACCATTTCAGAAAAAGAGGTTACGTTCACCTTACTTAGTCTTACCTACTGTCTAGCCATACTGAGCGAGTGAGTATTGCATTACGCCACTTATCCATATTCTAGCAATATCACAGCTGGGGACACCAGAAATGGGCATCACATAATGTACCCATGTGGGGAATCGAACCCAGGCCTTCAGCGTGATGAGCGAATGCATTAACCACTGGGCTACCCCACCGCCCCTCTAGCAATACTAACTGCCTATGCATCACAAGCAGATTGTTTTTTAAAATCCTACTGTAAGTGAATGCCAGATACAGAAATATCGCGGCAATATCAAGGCTTTCAAATAAACAAATCTCAAATATCCTGGTTTAGAGTTGAGCACCAAAAAGTTTGTGAACAAAATATCAGCAGCTTACGTATTCCTAATGAGTGTGGGGTGAGTTGGGTTTTACGCAGCTTTTTGGCACTGGAATACTGCAAAAAAGGTGCGTTAAAACCCAACTCACCCTACACTCATCAGGAATACGTAAGCTGCTGATAGAACTTAATCAACTGAGCAAAGTAAAGTATACGCTTGAAAATGGATTTGAACAAAAATTACAACCTGTTGATAGATCCTCATTAATGTGTAATATTAATTAATGTTTGTAATATGTCCTAAAATACCTGCATCAAATACATCACCATGGGATTACCAGTTCTTTTTATTTCATTTTAGCCGCAATCAAACATGGTGAGTACTCTCTTTTGTCCTTCAGTTTACATAAGCGTGAGTGAATGAGTGAGTTTGGCTTAACGCCGATTTTAGCAAAATTCCAGCAAGATCACGCTGAGGGACAGCAGAAATGGGCTTCACAGAATGCACCCATGTTGGGAATCGAACCTGGGCCTTCAGCGACGAGCGAATGTTTTAACCACTGGGCTACCCCACCGCCCCTATTCCTGATGAACTACAGGTAAAAGTGTGTAACTGTCTGCATCTTTTATACCAAAACCATGTAAACTGACAGACTGAAGAACGTTATTAATCATGATTGCATGGCAGATCACGGACAATAATTTATACGATAACACAATGCCATTTAGAAAGTGGTCAAATGTAACAGATTTTAGTTTTGTTGGGCCGATCCCCATCCGGACTCCCATAATAACTACAATAAAGTTATGCACATCTTGCTATTCCCACACACACATTTACTCGGAAATTTCCACACCAGGATCAATAGAAGAAATGCATAATGGGAGATGGGACAGGATTAAAAAGTAAAATTTATAACAAGATTAAATTTTTTTTTAAATCATTAAAATGTAGAACTTTAAACAAAAGTATCTTACTTTTTTGTCGCTGTGAGATTTCTTCTGTGGAAGCTTCAAATCGTGCCAAGTTCCTTTCTGACAAATATTCCCCACTGTGTTCAAACTCTGAAGACCACCCTGTCATGGCACCAAGCCTGTTTCCACATGTCTTTGGGCTTCCTGCTAGTTCTGTGGGCACATTGGCACCAGTTGCTGAATCATACACATTAACACCAGAGCTCGAGGATGTGGAGCGTCCCGCAGTTTTAGAGATGAGTTCCTGAATAGCCGATAATGATGACCTCCGTCTTTCCGTGACAGGAGCTGTTTCAATGTTGCTGGCCACCGCGGGGGAAAGCACTGGTTCTGCTGGGCTGCTCTTACGCCTGCTTGGACTGGCTGGTGGAGAGAAGTTGTTGAGGGGAGGTAACTCTGAACTCCCTCTCAATGGAGGTAGTTTTTCTGTTGAGGGTTTTGCTGGAGCATAAATATCAAGCACATCTGGTTGGGAAATTGTTGGCTCAGCCGCAGATTCAACTGTTTGATCATCTTGATTCATATCACACGGTTCCTCACTTTCTCCAACAAGAGTATCACAGCTTTTGGAATTAAGATCAACATTTTCGGTTTTTGATGACACAAGTTCTTCAGTCTGAGCAACTGAGCCACTATTTTTTTCAACATCCTTTGCACAATCTTCACCTGGTCTTCGTTTGAATTTTGGAGATTTTTCAAAACCATTTTTATTTGTTTTTCTTTCAATCCTTGGAGATCTTTCATGTTCTTCCTTTTTTTCTTTCTGCCGATTTTCTAAATTCCTTCTCGTCTCTTACATTTCTCAGCTCAGCTGCATTTTGTGACATGATTTCTTGCAAAATCTGATCCTCGATGAGAGATGGATCTAAACTCGGGGCATTGCCATTGCTAGGATCTGGGCAGGAGATGTGACTGGATGTAGAACACTCTGATGCAGCATAAGGAGAAGATGCCATGGTCATTTTCTTGATTGCTTCCACATCAGCCCGAGTAAAACCCTGTATGTCATGTGGAGTGTTGGGAGGGGTGCGCAGACCATCAAGTGGGCTGGCAACAATCTGTGAGTTGTCAAGGCGATCTCGATCATACGACCTTGAGCGTGATGTCCTTGGTGGTAGCTGTAAAGAGGATTTGTCCTCTGACTTTGGTCTCTTTCCTGAAAATTACAAGAGAAAACAGTTAATAGAGACATGAATAGGACCACTCCTTCAGTTGTTTCATAACAAAAATTGTTTGATATTCTAAAGGAAATCCCAAAGGGATGCTAGTCTGAGATGTTTATCAATTTGTAGCAACAGATGGGTACAAGTATTTGAATAACAAACGAAGGAACAATACGAGGGTATTTCTTGGAATTGAACCAGGATCACAAGGTTCAGATATGTCAACAAGACACAACTACGCCACAGTCAAATGTGGGACTTCTTCAGATTAGGCCATCAGGCCCAGCCAACATGAATAGAGTGAGTGACTTTGGCTACACAGCCTTTTGAACAGTGTTGCAGTTTAATGTAAGATGAAAGAAGGTCTTAAATGTTTACAGCTTATGTGAAACTCACAAGCATGGGTATGGCGTTGACAAACTGAAAAATATCAGGGTAAATCAGGATTCGAACCCATAATCATTGGTTTCTACAGACAAACCTGTGGCTGATGGAATGATGTTGAAAGGTACAAGTGCTGAAAGGTCAGCCACTTCAGATCACTTTACCACTTTTGCCAGGTCAAACTTCAAAGACACAGCAACAATTATTTGTTCCAACATGTTTTGCTAATGTTTTGTATGGTTCTCAAATGAAAATCGCAACAGGATGATCTGCAGTTACCTGCTCCTGGCTTGACAGTGAAGATCGGGGTTGGGGTCTGTGAGTCCACAAATCCAGCCAAAACCAGCGGTGTGGACATCCAATCATTCAGGACACTCGAGTTGTAGGACAGTTGGAAGGTCAAGGTCATCAGACCTGACATGAATAAAAGACAACAGACATCACAAAATGTCATGTACAAGCCCACTAAACAATTACATGGATGTGAAAGTGATAGCAATAATCAGGTAACGTCAAATTATTCCTCCTTTTTGACAAGTTGAAGCAAAAAGAGCCAGAGGCTTACCAGAGAGGTAACTTTTTAAAATGCCTGGATGTTCATGGTCCCTCAGATAGGCTGTAGCGTGGTAATAATACCTGAAGACAACAAATCATACAACTGACATCATCCACCAGGGGTGTCTCCTTTTACTGACCTCAACTGACAACTCTTCTTGTATATCCTCCAATGGGATTCTCTCCTTGTACTCACTACTAACAGCATGCTGGTAATCCTATTCGCAAATTTTCTGTAAGAACTAGTTTTAACCATCATGGTTTACGATTGCTCCAAACTTCAGACCATTGACTGGAAAGTTTCCAACTTGTACATTAGAATATAAGAATCTGGCAAGATATAAGTAAAATGTTTTTGAAAATTGATAAATTCAATGCTTCTTTTCTGACACTGTATATTGCAAATAACATACAATGAAAAACACATAAAAAATTATTAGTTCATGTAACCATAGATACAGCACATCAGTACAGAAAACATCTTAATCATGTTAATTTTCTTCACTTCAACAGATGCTGGTTGAGTGTGGTACTTACTGCAAGGTCTTAGCATCAGCAACCACGGAGTCAACGTAGCTCTCCATCAGCCCATCATTAAGAGCCAGTCTCACCCACGCCTGACATACACAAAATACAGTGAGTGAGTGAATGTGGTTTTACGCCGCTTATAGCAATATTCCAGCAACATCACAGCGGGGGACACCCGAAATGGGCTTCACACATTGTACCCATGTGGGGAATCGAACCCGGGTTGTCAGCGTGACGAGCGAACGCTTTAACCACTTTAACCCATCGCCCCTGTGAAATGCAAACTTTAAAGCTCAGTGAACAGATTAGTATTTGCACAATAGTTGCATGTATTGAAAACCTTAACAGCCAATACTGAAAAATTAAACTCCATTTTAAGTAAAATTTGATTGAGCCAAATAGTGCAGATCCCAGTAGATTCTTACCACAAATAGTACATACTAATATTACTATTCAGCACCTGTGAAGATCAAATACTACATACTATTCAGCACCTGTGAAGATCAAATACTACATACTATTCAGCACCTGTGAAGATCAAATACTACATACTATTCAGCACCTGTGAAGATCAAATACTACATACTATTCAGCACCTGTGAAGATCCAGGTTAGAATAGATCTTCGTAGGAGACAACTAACAGGGTAGGGTGGGGTGGTCAGACTCGATGACTTGGTTGATGTATGTAATCATGTCCTAACTGTTTCAATCACTGGATTGTCTGGTCCAGACTAAATTATTTACAGAATACTGTCATACAGGTGGAATATTGCTGAATCTGACTTTAAATAACAAAAAACAAACAACATGTTTTCTTAAAAACAAACAATTGGACTTGATCAAGTATTTACTTGTAAACTTTGTCCTGCTATTATTTATTCTGTTCACATGTTAGTTGTTTGAAGAGAATCAACATCACATTTAAAGGGCTGTTTCTTTGTTGGAATCTGAGTTTAGTATTTTGTTTGGTAAGTTTTATTATGACATCTGTTATGGTGAAAATAGAATTCTCCAGTTCCTAACAGTAACAGATCAGGTTTAATCTTCCTACAATCAGAAAATATCTTCAAAGTCGTTTCTGGTCAGTTGAACAATACCTGCAAGTGTTATTGTCAGTTATTCACTATAACTATGAGTTGCCATATCTGCATGATGATTATAACGACAGCATTACCCTGCAGAGTCCGATGTCTGTCGAGATCTGTGGGAGTTTCTTCAGCTGGGAGATGACATCTTTGTGTGTGAACTTAGCAACAAAGTTCCAGAAATTCTGAAAATATACAAAACCTTCACTGCACTACAACACAGCGTACTGCTCGGTAGGCCACAACATATTGATGTGAGGAGGCTTGTCACATGTACATGATCAGATGAACTGGTAAATGAGGGTTGTATATTCAACAGTTGTCTGATGAAGCATTTGTCTGTCAAAACAAACATAAAATATATATACTGAGGGAAAAAACATAAGGGATCGCATGAAAACACAGTATTCCTTTATTTTTTCCAGGTTCCTTCATAAGCTGTGCGATGCAAGGCTTGTGAAGAAACCAGGGGACAAAATATAGGAACACTTGCTTTCATGTGATCCCTTATTTTTTACCCTCAGTATATATTGGCCACAGAATAAAATAAATACCTGATCATTCACATTCAAGAATGTTACAGAGTTCTGGGTATTTGAAAGTGTTCCATAAGCTCAGTGTATCTGTAAGTGTATAGATAACGGATTTCCCGCGAGGAACTCTGTGTGTCTACCACTCACAGTTCATTCTGCAGCTGACAGATTTCGAAAAACACCTACAGTAGTTGTTTCTTTTGTTAAGGCCAAAAACCTGTCATCACAGTATGATCTACTCCAACCCCACTTAGGGTTTAGTTGTGAGTGAAGCCCATTTCTGGTGTCCCCTGCCGTGATATTGCTGGAATATTGCTAACAGCGGCGTAAAACCACATTCAGTCACTGAGTCAGTCAGTTTAGTTGTGACAGCAATTCTTAACTGTAACCATGGTAACAATACTGACCTATACATTTCTCATCAAATTCTCAACTCCCTGGAGATTTTACAACAGAAACCGCTTGCAAGTCAAAATCAACAATGAAAAACAGCTAAGATGATCATTTACAAGTTTTGGAGAGTAAAAATATTATTTTGGAAAGTGGTATTTTCAAGTAAAACTAAGTCTTAATTTCCATGTCTCTGCTCAGCCTTATCCTAACCAAACTCACGGCGACTATATCAGTCACAAGATATTGTGAATGGGTGCTGGTCATATACTCACAATGGTGACAGCGCTGTCTGCTGCTGGTGTGGTGAAGTTCATGTAACTGACCAGCTGCAAGTGGACGGAATGACCAATACACAATTACCACATCAGTATAAAGAAAACATTCAATTAGCTCATCACAGAAAGAGGAAATGTTCATTTTAACTGTATTCAGCAATATTACAGATCAGTTGTTATTCACAATAATCACATTCTAGAACATGTCTTTCTTGTACTAAGTTGTAGCTTGTAGTCCATCAGTGACCAGCATAATCTACAGACTGGGCTCTTTGTGTTCAGCAGAACTATGAAGTGACATCACCGTTTTCAAGTTGATAAACATCAACAGTGGTCAGGAAAGTAGGACATTTTCCTATGTTTGGTCATCTTTATGATTATCATGAATATGTATAAATATAAGCATGCTAAGTGAAATACTAGTTTATGCAAATACATGTAACTTGAATAAAAACTATGTCAGTGACTTGTTTGTCTGATGTCATGATTAAAATGGTTAAATCAGATATGATTCACACTGATGATAAGGACGTGATGTCAGCATAATGTTCAGCAGCTGTTGAAACACTTGACAATCCAAATGCTGCCACCACCTATCTCTGTGAGTCATTGGTTTCACATAGTCTGAAACCAGTCTCTGGTTCAAATATGAATTTGAAGGAAATAAAACAAATATATATCCATGATGGATATTTTCCTCATCCTGTGTGTACAAAATGCATCTTCAGCATGTTGAGTCAGTTTTTCTAAACCATTTTCTAAATATATTTTCAGAGATGCCAACCCTATTTGGGGCCTGAGTGTAATACTGGAGGTCAAAAAGTGTAATTTGGACCTAAAAAGTGAAATACTTAAAACACTTACTTAGTGAAAGGTGATAACTTTATAAAAATTACTTTTGAAAAGGTTTATTCACATGAATAGGAAAGATTCAAGACAGAAATACAAGTGACCAATCATTATGCAGTTCCATACATCAAAAATTGTTGGTCAGGTGAGACAAAATACTTTAATTCCTTACAAGTTAATTGGAATGAGCGCAATGCTAAGAGTAAGCGCTTCTATCGGTGTAAGGCCATTTCTGAACCCCTGCACTAGTGAGTTACGAAAAAAATTCCCTGTGAAATTTTATCCACTTTATTGATTTTCGCAAAACGAGTAGAAAAGCGTAATTTTCGCAGATTAAGTGTAATGGCGTAATTTAATGGTCAAAATCGTAATTATTGCGCCCAAAGTGTAAGGGTTGGCATCTCTGTATTTTTAATATATCCAGTCTTGGATACACCATTCCCTCAAGTAAACAATTCACTGTATAAACTAAGCCTTGATGAATTGTTCCATTTGGGCACTAACAGTCTACAAGTTACAACCACATCCTTCCCTCGGCAAGGGAGCTTACTGACTGTCCAGTTTCAATAAGTGCCAAACTTGGCAGCAGTTACATTTTGGAGTAACGAACCTCTGCACTGACACATATAAATCATGTAACAGCAATATTCAGTTCCCAAACAACACAGTGACTGAAATGAAGGGTTTGGAGAGCATATGACACATCAAATAGACATTGACAGATACTTTCAAAATCTTTTGCTCTAATGATCTAATGCACTATGCAAGGAAAAACCCTGTTTTATTGCAGTAGAGATCTTGATTATTCATCAGGTAATTTTGACTGGAGGCAACCTATTTGCTATCGGTGTGACTGTGAGAGGTGAAATCTGATTGGTTATGAAGAAACATATCAGAGACACATCCTCGATAATCTCCAGGGAATACGTTACGATCACTCTCCACTATACCCTAGATGCATCCACAGCTTGGACCGATGATTTTATTACCTGCCTTGGCTGGCTTTTTATCCAATCAGGTATCTACGCTGTGAAGTTGAGTGAACCAATCACAACTCACTTTCGCTTCTTAAATTATCTAACCGTTTAAACTTGGCAACACAACTGATGCAGAAGTACTCTGAAAGAGGTAGAAGGAGTTCTTTATATATATTTTTTCAGATCTGTCAATTTGTCTGAATTATTTCTTAAAAATCTGAGAGGCACTGCGAACAAACCTTCAGCGACTGCGACTGCTATCTTGGTTGACACTGGCAAGCTCGGATGTAACAGCTGCTTAGTTGATTGTTTACTGTGAGAATGCGGAGCCAGCAAAGGGCAGGGATTGACTTGGGCCGCGATATCGCGATTTTCTCGCATCAATTGCTATAAAATTGCACTGAAATTTATCTGCAGCGATTTAAAACCGCATCCTGCTCACCTGTACGATTAGAAATAATAAAGTGTTTAAATCTATTTTACTGAGAAAGGCTTTGTCGTTATTTTGTTCTGTCAAAGATATTCCCGTTGCTTTCTACCTATCTTTAATCTTCGAAACATAACTTCCGGTATGGAACTTCGAACATCGTTACACAGTGTCGTACAAAACGAGCTGTGCCGCAAGGAGTATGGTAAACTCTGAACCCCGCAGTTCTGTGTTGTGTATGCACTGTACGACGCTGTACAGAGTTCGCGTTCGGATGTTGTGTTCTGCAACATAATGCCTCCCAAAAAGCGTCTGCTAACGAAACCATCCGGCATCGACTTGAAGTTGATTAAATACATATGACAACGTCCTATTTGTCGTTTATTCATTTTGTTGTGAATGATCATGAACAGTTAAATATCATAAGATTTGAAAAAATCTCACGTTTTTGGACCCATGTGAGATTTTGTCTCATATCTTTTTCTGAGCCAGGTTTATCCCTGAAAGGGAGGTAATAAAATCATTGGGCCAAGCCGTGGATGCATCCAGGGTATAGTGGAGAGTGATTGTAACGTATACCCTGGAGACTATCGAAGGATGATCAGAGACAGAGTTCAAAATAGCCACTGGCAGCATCAGATTGAGCAATGAAATTCCAACCCAGTTTGACAAGGGTTGTAACTGGGCTTTTACAGTCAGTTATCTCCCTTGCTTAGGGAGGATGCTACAAGTACAACTATTAGTATCACACTGACCTTGCTGGCCACAGAGTCCTTGAGGCCATGCAGGAACACCGCCTCCAGGATGCTGCAGAGGGAGTTGGCCTCGTCATCACTGCATCATAGGGAATGGATATGAGTTATGGCAATTTTTTATGCCCCATTTTATGAGTGGCATAAATGTTTACAAAGTTTTGGTCATGTGGACCAAATTAATAAGATGTCCAACTACGTACCAGAGGCCTGTGACTGTCACACCACTGACATGACACATATGACTAGAATATTCATGCATGCTGAATTCAACAATAAGCATGATAAGGTAGCCATTTCCATACACATCAATATATGGTCCCATATAGTTGGGGGTTTTCAGGACAGAATGTATATTATTTTTTCAGCATGTTCATATGCAAATTGGTTTAAGTAGTTCACAAAAGTCTGTAATACCTCAACTACATAAAGTTTAGCTTTGTTATAAATGTTTACAAATGTGGATTGACTGAGATTGTAAACAAACCTGTAGATGGGAACTTCAGTTTCATCGTTGGTGTGTCTCTGCTGAAGAACTTTCAGAACTTTAGAAAACTCCTTGCTAATGTTGCGCTTGAGTTTGGTCTCTTGGATGACTTCCTCCGGAGAAGGCCCTGCAGAGAGTGTAAGATGATGTATGAAAATTGCAGAGAGTGTAAGATGCAGAGAAGCGTAAGATGCGTATGTACATTGTCTATCCATGGACCACTGTGTGGTTTCTGAGCATCCTGCAGAGAGTTTGAGAGCATCCATGGCACTGTGAGTGGTTTCTGAGAGCATCCTGCAGAGAGTGTAGATGGCGTATGTACATTGTCTATCCATGGACCACTGTGAGTGGTTTCTGAGAGCATCCTGCAGAGAGTGTAAGATGGCATATGTACATTGTCTATCCATGGACCACTGTGAGTGGTTTCTGAGAGCATCCTGCAGAGAGTGTAAGATGGCGATGTACATGTACATTGTTTTTGAGAGCATCTATCCATGTCTATCCATAGACCACTGTGAGTGGTTTCTGAGAGCATCCTGCAGAGAGTGTAAGATGGCGTATGTACATTGTCTATCCATGGACCACTGTGAGTGGTTTCTGAGAGCATCCTGCAGAGAGTGTAAGATGGCGTATGTACATTGTCTATCCATGGACCACTGTGAGTGGTTTCTGAGAGCATCCTGCAGAGAGTGTAAGATGGCGTATGTACATTGTCTATCCATGGACCACTGTGAGTGGTTTCTGAGAGCATCCTGCAGAGAGTGTAAGATGGCGTATGTACATTGTCTATCCATGGACCACTGTGAGTGGTTTCTGAGAGCATCCTGCAGAGAGTGTAAGATGGCGTATGTACATTGTCTATCCATGGACCACTGTGAGTGGTTTCTGAGAGCATCCTGCAGAGAGTGTAAGATGGCGTATGTACATTGTCTATCCATAGACCACTGTGAGTGGTTTCTGAGAGCATCCTGCAGAGAGTGTAAGATGGAGATGTGTCTATCCATAGACCACTGTGATGAGAGCATCCAGTGTAAGATATGTACATTGTCTATCCATGGACCACTGTGAGTGGTTTCTGAGAGCATCCTGCAGAGAGTGTAAGATGGCGTATGTACATTGTCTATCCATAGACCACTGTGAGTGGTTTCTGAGAGCATCCTGCAGAGAGTGTAAGATGGCGTATGTACATTGTCTATCCATGGACCACTGTGAGTGGTTTCTGAGAGCATCCTGCAGAGAGTGTAAGATGGGTATGTACATTGTCTATCCATGGACCACTGTGAGTGGTTTCTGAGAGCATCCTGCAGAGAGTGTAAGATGGCATATATGTACATTGTCTATCCATGGACCACTGTGAGTGGTTTCTGAGAGCATCCTGCAGAGAGTGTAAGATGGCATGTACATTGTCTATCCATGGACCACTGTAGCATCCTGCAGAGAGTGTAAGATGCATATGTACATTGTCTATCCATAGACCACTGTGACCACTGTAAGAGTGGTCCATCCATGGACCACTGTGAGTGGAGAGCATCCTGCAGAGAGTGTAAGATGTATGCATTGTGTGTACATTGTCTATCCATAGACCACTGTGAGTGGTTTCTGAGAGCATCCTGCAGAGAGTGTAAGATGGCGTATGTACATTGTCTATCCATGGACCACTGTGAGTGGTTTCTGAGAGCATCCTGCAGAGAGTGTAAGATGGCGTATGTACATTGTCTATCCATGGACCACTGTATGAGAAGTTATCCATGGACCACTGTGAGTGGTTTCTGAGAGCATCCTGCAGAGAGTGTAAGATGGCGTATGTACATTGTCTATCCATGGACCACTGTGAGTGGTTTCTGAGAGCATCCTGCAGAGAGTGTAAGATGGCGTATGTACATTGTCTATCCATGGACCACTGTGAGTGGTTTCTGAGAGCATCCTGCAGAGAGTGTAAGATGGCATTGTTGTGTACATTGTCTATCCATGGACCACTGTGAGTGGTTTCTGAGAGCATCCTGCAGAGAGTGTAAGATGGCGTATGTACATGGACCACTGTGAGTGGTACATATGTCTATCCATAGACCACTGTGAGTGGTTTCTGAGAGCATCCTGGCGTTATGTACAGTCTATCCATGGACCACTGTGAGTGGTTTCTGAGAGCATCCTGCAGAGAGTGTAAGATGCATGCATGTACATTGTCTATCCATGGACCACTGTGAGTGGTTTCTGAGAGCATCCTGCAGAGAGTGTAAGATGGCGTATGTACATCGTCTATCCATAGACCACTGTGAGTGGTTTCTGAGAGCATCCTGCAGAGAGTGTAAGATGCGTTATGTACATTGTCTATCCATGGACCACTGTGAGTGGTTTCTGAGAGCATCCTGCAGAGAGTGTAAGATGGCGTATGTACATTGTCTATCCATGGACCACTGTGAGTGGTTTCTGAGAGCATCCTGCAGAGAGTGTAAGAGATGAGTGTAAGATGGACCACTGTGAGTGGTTTCTGAGAGCATACATCGTCTATGTCCACTGTATCCATGGACCACTGTGAGTGTAAGTTTCTGAGAGCATCCTGCACTGAGAGAGAGTGTAAGATGGCATCCTGCAGAGAGAGTGCGTATGTACATTGTCTATCCATGGACCACTGTGAGTGGTTTCTGAGAGCATCCTGCAGAGAGTGTAAGATGGCGTATGTACATTGTCTATCCATGGACCACTGTGAGTGGTTTCTGAGAGCATCCTGCAGAGAGTGTAAGATGGCGTATGTACATTGTCTATCCATGGACCACTGTGAGTGGTTTCTGAGAGCATCCTGCAGAGAGTGTAAGATGGCGTATGTACATTGTCTATCCATGGACCACTGTGAGTGGTTTTTTAAAGCATTCAGCAAAATATCAGGTGTATCAAAAGAATTGTGTCAATGTTTTAGGGTTTTTTTTCTGTAAACATTGACATCAGGATAACTTACAGCATGCAGCCTCAATAATCATGTTCCAAAAGCATCTAACACGCTTGACAACCACACTGATGACATGGGGCTTGTATTATTTCTGTTTGATCAGCTTTTGATAAATGATAACACCATAACAATGATCACATAGGCCATACCTGCTTATATCATGGAAATGTATGCTTTGACCATGTTATTGACTATCCATGCAATCTGACCAGTTTAAACTAGAGCCTATGGTTGTACTTCTTGAACACAGTACTGCAAAATATTGTTATACAACGTATAATAGTTGTAGTTATTTGCTTTATTTAACGTCGCACGCACAACTAAGGTATTTCGGCGACGGGAAACGTATACAAGCATGTACTGTTGACATGGCTATCTTTTGTATTATCATGGATGTCGCTTCTTCCTAATACACATGAGGAAGTGAACAGGTGGCATAATTGGGGAGACCTTATTGTCAGTGTTCTCATGATGCACTTGTGTTATCTAAGGTGAGACGGAAGTTAACGTTTTATTACCTAGCTCTAATCGCAACGCTCAGTTTATTTTATCAGCTGTTTTATGGTCGTTCACTCTTTGCGTAGCTTATAAAAAGATTATCAACATCTTCTGCTTTCACCCGAAAATATTAAGCACCGAGAAAAACAACAAGTGACATAGTCTGACCTCTGTGTGCGTCATTTGTAGAGTCAGCTTGTCAGCTGATCGATCTTGCTTGAACAGATTCAGAAAGTGTTTCAACTTCCCGTTCATTGTTCAGACCTTGTCAGAAAAACAAAACTCATATGATTGCTTGAGTTAACTGGACAAAAGGTTTAAATATGGCCGTATTTAGTCGTACCTTTCTTCTTGAACATATTCATTTGGGATAACATCAGACAGCCCCTTATCCAGTGGGTGTTATGTTATTTCCATCATGTGTTTGTAAACATTATAGATGGCGTTGTGATACTGAGCTGTGTCATTCTTCCGGTTAGGGTGGCCATAGTTTCGCATTTTCTTGTGCCGTTGCGAAAAATAAGCTGGTTCCTGGTTACTTTTGTGGACGCTAGCTGCAATATTGGAGACGGATCCCAGCTTATTGGAAATTTTGCTGATTTCATGATGGCTTGTTAACATTTCAAACAAGATGTGTGTGAGTTTAGTTTGACGCCGCTTTTAGCAATATTCCAGCAATATCACGGCGAGTTTCAAACAATTAAGGAGAGAATAAGTGTAACCAATAGCTTACCACGTTGAGTAACCAATTTTTCTCACTTATTTGATTAAAACTTAAATATGAATAAATAATGCATGAAAAGTGTTTTGTTCCAGATCTGCAGAATCGTTCCGAAGTGTTTGAGTCCTGACATATAATGCCTTGCACATTTGTTAATAAACGATACCCAAAAATATACGATATGAAAGCATGATTTTTCTTTCTTTCTTGGGGTGGAGGTGGTGGGGTGGTGGGACTGAAAATATATGGCATTTTAAACTTTCATGTTTACGACCATTCACCATTCCAATCAAGCTATCGTATTTTCAGACTGATACCTGCTCCCAGATCCACTGGACCAGTTTCACATGAATAAAGCGTTATTGCATGAGTTTGAGCTGTTAAAACATATTCTTATTCTTAGTTGCTCGATCTCTTCTTCAAAAAGAGCCAGATGAAAAAAAATTTCTCAGACACTTACTTATATAGACACTCTTTTGGGGTTTACGTTAAATTATGACGTTTATGAGCTGGATATGTTATGTTGAGGAAATATACTGAAAATATTATTTTATGTTGGGGATAGAGAAACAGAATAAAGGAACATATGTGAGTATGATTTTAATCCGCATTTATTAAATTCCAGCACTATTTGTAATCATTTTGGGAATCGAACCCGGGCTTTTGGCGTGACGAGCAAAAGCTTTTCCCTCTAAATCGCTCAAATGGATGGTAGGTATATTATATATTCATATGGATATGAATATTTAAAACAGGAACTGAATAGTTTTGCCCATAGTATAACCATTTACCAATTTAACGTAAGAGTTCTACATTTGTATCTTCCTTAAAACGAACATGCATCAACAAAAGGAATAAGTGTTTGTACAAAACAACCAAACTAAAACCATAAACTCTTTCACAGCTCAAATCATACCAAAAATCACTTCTCACCATTATCCAGGATGACGTGACTCGATTGTTCTATCCTCAAAATAGTATATTATTTATTATTTGCGAGCCCGAAAGGTAGAGGAAATGTAAAGTAATAGACTGGTTTGCCTGTCCTAGAGTGTTTGCGCTCCTCGCCGCACTATTTAAGTGCAGCCTCAAGTTAGAGTTCGAGTTCTAATTATGTGATAGAGATCTTATCATCTAATTATTTCACGGGTATGTCCTTCTGCATTTCTTAAATCAGTAAGAATACCACAGTTGTTAAGCATTTATCCATCTCGTTCATTTTCACATTCATCGAAAAATAGCAGACGACAGAAAACAAACTTTTGGAGTTATTCCCCCTAGATCTGTTTCATTTGGAAAATATCCGGAGAATGACGCCTTACATAATTAATTCAGGTCACAAAATTGAGATAGGTAGGTAACAAATGTAATTCCAACAGTTCGGCAATTAAAGCAAGGAACTTATGGAATTTATCTTACATGTCAGGATTGTACATTTGCAAAAAATATACTCGTGAAGATTCGGATTAGAACTCAACACCCCGTGTTTGTCGTAAGAGGCGTTTAGGGCATTGGATGGTTAATGCATGTCGGGTCCCAATCGATGCTCATGATGTCAGTGACTGGAGTGTCTGGTCTAATTGTTTACAGACCGCCGTCTTGTATTAAACAACAAACAAACAAAATAACATAAATAGTTCCAACTGATGAGAATCCGGCATTCATATGAAAGGTAAAACAACAGGAATGGCAGCCTGTGTACCCTGTGTCTAATCAAATTTCAAGTCCACTAAGTGTATGGGGGTCTAGTGGTTAAAGCGTTGGCTCGTCACGCTGAAGACCCGGGTTCGAATCCCCACATGGGCACAATGTGTGAAGCCCATTTCTGGTGTCCCCCGCCGTGATGTTGCTGGAATATTGCTAAAAGCGGCGTAAAACCGAACTCAGTCTAAGTGTATGGGGACTAGGCATACTCCTTCCACCGTTGTATATAACCAAAGACTGAATATACGTCCTTGATATAACACATGGTTAAAAAAACAAGGGTACACATGCAAAAAGTCTAATGGCAGGTTATGAATACGCAATGCCATTTAGAAAGTGGTCATATGTAACACATGTCATTTTGAATAATGACATTGTCTATCGTGATTAAAGAGACAAATGTTCATATAACTGGAAGAAGCGTTTATAAAATATAAATCACATTGAAATCGATCAATTCCTGTACGTGAGTGTTCTGACAAAAGGAATAGGCGTTTGTTCAGAGCGATATGTGAGTGAGTGAGTTTAGTTTTACGCCGCTTATAGCAATATTCCAGCAATATCACGGAGGGGGACACCAGAAATGGGCTTCACACATTTTACCCATGTGGGGAATCTAACCGGGGTCTTCGGCCTGAAGAGCGAACGCTTTAATCACTAGGCTACCCCACCGCCCCAGGGCGATATGTACGAGGTCGAGATGTGTATTGCTTTCACGAATATGTACCTTTGTTTTATATCATTGACACTTTTTTGGAACCCTTTAGACACCTGGCAACACAACAGAAGACGTCGATGGTCCAATTGAAGAAAATACAGAAACTAAACAAAAAATGAAATAAATCAATAAATAAAGCCCAACGACGTTGAATAATGGAGCTAAGGCAACGGATGTGGAATAGTCTTTTCCTGAACAGAGGGCTGATTGTGGAAGAATTGATGGCGTCACACCAATGACAGAGAGAGTACCCGTGAAGATCCGGGTTAGACTAACGGGATCAGGTGGTCAGGCTCGCTGGCTTGGTTGACACATGTCATCGGTTCCCAATTGCATAGAACGATGGTCATGCTGTTGATCACTGGATTGTCTGGTCCAGACTCGATTATTGACAAACCCCCACCATATAGCTGGAATATTGCTGAGTGCGGCGTTAAACAACCAACCAGCCAACCAATAGTGAGAGAGAGAGAATAAGCTATAATATTACAGACTCTGACGTGAAACTACATGCGAACACCTAATACTAAGCACCGATAGATTGTGTTGGAAATAACATGATATTCACGTTGTCGTCAGACAACTTTGATTTATCATCCCCCGCCACGAAGTGGGAGGGGGATGAAGGTTTGAGCTCTGTCCGTTTGCCCATCCTTCCTTCCGTCCGTCCGTCCGTCCGTCCGATATGATGGGGACATATTTTCTTAAAAACCGTTATTAGTGGTATGTGCTTTCAGGTCACAAATGCCTTGATGGAGTTCAAAAACGGAAACCGTGTTACGATTCTTTACAGAGTGACGGCCCTTGCCATACGTTTCTTGACTTGGTGCACGGTATCCCCAATGGGGACAGATTTTCTCAGAAACCGTTATAGATTGGGAAACCAAATGTGGTATGTGTTTTCAGGACACAAATGCCTTGATGGATTTCGAAAACGGAAACCGTGTTACGATTTTCACAGAGTTATGGCCCTTGTCATGCGTTTCTTGACATTGCGCACGTTATCCGCAATGGAACGGATTGTATCCCTTATGAATCGCTATTTATAAGAAGAATGAATATTCAAAATAGGAACAGAACACTGTGGCGGGGGATATTGATGGCCATGTTTTATTGTTACATTTGTAAGCAATAAAGTCCAGTTGTAACATTGAACTATAAAGTCAATATCATATAATGAAAAAACGTTTTATGCAAACTACAAAGAAAGAAGAATGTGAATATTGTGAAATGTTTCAGCCAAATATCTAGGAACACCCTACACTGTTCAGTCAATTTAATCATTTCTCAACTCAGCATAGTTTACAGTTTTCTGTATTAATTTGGGCTGTCAAACATGTTATCCGAGAACCTCCTGATACTTCATTGCAAAGAAATTACAGAAATGTATCGCACTGGGATGGCGCACCTGTCATGACAAATTCAAATTTCAGAGGTGTCACTGCTACAATAGATAATTACTAGTCAGATGAAGTCACTGTCTGTACTGATTTTTTGTGTTCCGAACGATGATGGTGTACAACTATGACATACATACGTTCTCGGTACATCCACCTTGTCTATATGGTACAGTTGCGAGAAATAATAAGACATGAATAAATAGTTTATGAAAATAGCGATTGAATAAATTTAAACCAGGGGGACAGATTTCGTACAATTAACGCACAGATGGATTTAATCATTCTTTATTGTTTAAAAATTGTGAAAAGCAGAAATGATACACTGAAGAAACGTTCTGTTTTATAGACCATGATGAGAACGATCTATACGTTTACTCGAAGCGAGTGAATATTGTTTTACGATACTTTAGCAATATTCCAGCAATATCACGAGTTCGTGATGAGCGAACACTTTAATTACACGGCTACCTCAGCGCCTTCGATTACATGTAAAGTACTGGGCGAGCTGCAAGACTATCACCGCACCACAAAAGTAAGGGACGATGGTTACAATGTGTAATCTTACTCATGCCGTCGAATCCGACTGTGGGATCGATGCTTTTATTCTCAACCCAGATTCGAATCTTCGTAAACTGGAATTTTGCAAACAGCATAAAAGAACATACTCTTACACTATGTAACAAAGGACATTTGCACTGTTTTCCTGCTAAGTAGCGCACTGGCACCAGCACTGGGATCGATTTTGAAGCTCATTATCATTCATTCATTCATTCATTCATTCATTCATTCATTCTTTCATTCTTTCATTCTTCCTTTCTTCCATTCATTCATCCATCCATCCTTCAATCCTTTCATTCATTCATTCATTCATATCACTTGTAAATGCCATATTTGTGTTGGT